CAGCTGGTGCAGTGGGCGGGTGGGTGAGTGGGCACATACATGTAGGATCGGGTAGAGAAGCCACTTTTTCCACACAAGTCTGAAAAGAAACAGTGAGGTTCATGTCACCCTAACATGGGCCTGTTGCATTCCCAAGATTGCCTCGGTATGGGGCAGTGAAATGCACCCCACGTCACCCCCTCCCAAAGCTGGTCATCACTCCTGCTCACGTGACCGAGAAGCCGACTCTGTAGCCCTGCTAAACTGTTCTCCAGTGGGAAGGCGTCTGCATGCTCCTCAGTGGGTGGGTGGGTGGATGGATGGGTGGGTTGGTGGATGGGTGGGTGGATGGATGGGTGGGTGGATGGATGGATGGTGGAGTGGGTAGGTGGATGGATGGGTGGGTGGGTGGATGGATGGACGGTGAGTAGATGGGTAGGTTGATGGATGGATATTGAGTGGGTGGGTGGATGGATGGGTGGGTGGATGGATGGATGGTGAGTAGATGGGTAGGTTAATGGATGGATATTGAGTGGTTGGGTGGGTGGACGGATGGATAAGTTAGTGAGTGACTGCTTGAGTGGATTCATAGCTGGAGATATGGGTGGATGAATGGGTATATGGACAGATGAATGGGTGGACAGGTGGATGGGTGCATGGGTGGAAGGATAGATGGCTGGTGAGTGGATGGATAGGTGGATGGATGGGTGGATAAGTGGGTGAGTGGATTCATGGCTGATGATATGGGATATGAATGGGTGGATAGATGGATAGACGGATGGATGGATGGATGGACAGATGGGTGGGTAGATGGGTGGATGAATGGGGGTGGATTCGTGGGTGGATGGATAAGTGGATGAGTAAGTGGTTGAGTGAATTTGTGGGTGGGGATATCAATGGATGGATGGGTGAGTGGACAAGGGTTGGATAGAGGGGTAGATGGATGGATGGATGGGTGGGTGGCTGGATAAGTGGGTGAGTGAATGGTTGAGCGAATTTGTGACTGGGGATATGAATGTATGGATGGGTGGATGGACTGGTGGATGGGTGGGAGGCGTGCAAGGAAGGATGGATGAGTGGACAAGGGGTGAGTGGATGGACAGATGGGTGATGGGGTGGATGAGTAGATGGATGGGTTGGTGGATGGATAGGTGAGTGGACAAGGGATGGATAGGGGGGTGGATGGATAGATGGGTGTAAAGGTGTCAAGCAGATGGGAGACTGGTGTCCACACAGCTGGTGCAGTGGGCGGGTGGGTGAGTGGGCACATACATGTAGGATCGG